GAGAGAGAGGAGGAGGAGGAGGGAAGTAGAGTCATGAGGAGCATTTTTAAAGCAGAACGAGTTAAAACATCACTTGAGTAACATACTACCAACACGTCTCAGGGGAGGAAAAGGGTTTAACCATATACTCCCAATTATATCATAACAAATGAATTCTACTATTGGATGATAAGAAGCAGGACACCAATCAGGGAGATTACACTTGTAATGAGTTCAATTATACACAAAAGAATGAAGAAAATCAAACAGCCGTTGCTCTGCCTTGTGTTCTGCTCTGTAGTAATTGAACTATACAATGCATAACAGGTATATGATATTCTAACTACTGACTATGTGTTGTTTCCAGGTTCACAAAAATAGAGACGAAGGGCTACCTGCATACGCAACCAAAGACAACTCCAGCATCTCTGGTGAGCACAGACATTTTAATATTTTGTTTTTAAACCTTTTTTTGTTCATATTTTCTGCACAGGTAGAAACGTCTATATACGTCTATAGATTACAAACCAGATAAAATATCATATAGTTATTGGAAACATGGTTTTACCTGATACCTGATCCGAAGTATATGCAATTTACCTTTTTTTTAAACTGTAAAATGCTCTTCTTTTTAAAAGTAAAATATATCATACACTATTAAGTACTTGCAAAACCAAAATCCAGTTTCTCTCTCTTATATGCAGTATAAGCTACAGAAATCATTTTGTTCTGTCTACTGTTTGCATGGGCTGCTTGACACTACATAAATCACCCTGCAGTTGTTTTACTATGTCTTGGTTTCATCAAATGTTTGAACAGGTTTTTACACTATTTCACGAAAAAGCATTACACAATCTATTTCAGCAAGCTGTTACACACTATCTGTTTCATCAGACGTCTGAGTCAGTTGTATTATAGCATCGTTGTTTCATTTAGTGTCTGAGTGAGTGGTTTTATAGTGTCTCTGTGTCCCTGCGAGGCTCATATTCCTGTGACGTTTCATTTGCTCCTCTCATCTCCCACTCTGACCCTTTGACTGAAGAAAATGTCTTGTGTGTTTTGTGGTGGCGTTGCAAACACACACATACACACAAAGGACACACACCATGCGCACACTTAGTTATCTCCATGTGTCCGGATAACCGGCTCAACCAATGGGCCTTACTGAAACTCTCTTCCTGTCTGTCTCTCCGTCTCATTTTCTCTCAGATGAAAACAAAGAGCAGAATAGTTTCTTTGTACCAGAGAGTGAGACGTCAGCGCCCGACTACTGGAGGGAAAGCTCAGGTACAAATACTCGCTTATGTGTTTGTGGCTGTAGAGCAGCTGCCGATGGTAAACAACTTAATGAAGATAAGACTGCAAAATTAAAAAAAATGGCATGTCAGGTACTACCAAAAGTATAATTATAAGGATGGAAAGGTTCATTTAATTTCTGCATTTGGTTTCACTCTTGTGTAATTTGAATCTCATGTCGCAGAGCAACTCTGAGGTCTTTATGAAACTTCAGATTTAATCATGATCAAACGTTTACATCAGGAAATAAACTAAAAGCACAAAGGCAGCTTTTGACTGTAAATGAAAGTTAGCAAATTGGAGCTACAATCTGTAATAATGTATCTAGTGCAGGAATATAATTTATTTGCTGTGTGACATTAAAATAATTATTAAAATTGAACAGTAAATCAAAAATTAACACATAATTTTTTTAACATTTGCATTACAAAAGCTACAGTTGGCCTTCCCCTTAAGCACACAATGCAGATTAATATATGCCGTGTAAGAATCTCCATACATAAAACAAACAATGCTAGTTAAAAAAAACTCATAATAATATGGCTTTACATACTTAAGTTACAATGGCATCTCTTTCTTATTACACAAAAGCGACTCAGAATACTTAAAGCTCCTCAGTCTTCAGCTTCATCCACCTCAATCTCCTCCTCCTCTCAGACGGGGAGTTAAGGGATTCATATAAATACACAGAGAGATGAAACGGCAGTGGAAAGCTGCTTCTGCCGCCGCTCCGCCACGGCTGCTCTCTTTAGCGCCGTTGTCGCCAGGGCTGTTACTCTTAGGGGGGCCATTATAGTTCAACAAGAAAACATCAGCTCAGAGATAAGCAGCCACGCTAGCAATCTCCATCCTAGACACATATCGCCGCCGACATAATTGCCTTTTTTTCCCCTTCCTCAGCGCAAAAAACCCTTTCCCGTTTGAAAAAGATCACAGCTTATTGCCTTTTTATATCTGTCAGGAAGACATTAAAAGTGCTTTATGACATCTGTGCCAACATTTATATCTACCCCCCCACTCCCTCAACCCCTACACACACATATCGTAATGATCCCTGCGCATAATGTATAATGTATTTCGAAAAATTACACGAAACAAATTAAATGAGACCACCTTTCCCCTGATTGCCAAACGTCTCCCTGGGCGGTGGGAAGCTCTACGTGATTAGAAGGCCTGATTCCTCCGAGTCCCACCACCACCACCACCCCCCCTCCACTGTCTTTAAACTCTCCCTCTGTTTCTAGGGAGAAAAAATAATCTAATTTTCCATTTATGTAATGCAAACCGCCTTGGCTTTGACTATTCACGGTTAATTGACTGTCAAACGAGGTTGTTATCCTCGGGCACTGTCTGCAAATTTGCTTGTCAAATGAGACAGAGAGAGGAGAGGAAAGGAGAGAGAGAAGAGGAGGAGGAGGAGAGAGGAGAGCTCACTCTCTGCTCTAAATGAGAGAGAGAGAAGCATAGGGAGGCTTAAGGAGCCAGGATGTGAAATGACTGGAGGAGAATATACATATCGAGTTTGCTGGATCGCTTCATTTAAGGCGCACAATGCCTCATTGTCACAATTCAGACGTTAGTGCAAACACGTTCATACACGCAGAACACAACTTTCAACACTGCTAAATTTGAAAACAGCATGTGAGGAAGATGTTAAAGCAACAAGTATATTCCAGATTTCTCCATCAGTGACAAAGCTTAAAAAAGTACACGGACAAAACATCCATCATATGAAAACTACGATAAAGCTGTTTTACATGAATGTATGGTTGTTCTTTCCTTATGCAGCCACTGGTATTGGTCAAAATATAACATAGCTGACATTACAATGCAATAGTTTGTGAGCATAACAACCTCTGCTTAAACTGGCCTTTTTTGTTTTAGCATAATTGGTGTAATTTCCCTTTTTTTGTTTAATGAGCTACAAAATCAATTTACTTTAATTTCTGAACACCAGTAGCGTTCTTTTGTTTTCTTAATAGATAACATAGCAATATGATCTGACAGCAAGAAGAGATTGAACATGTCAGTGAGTGCAGTAAACATCTCCATCCTCAGTGCCATCAAATTGTTACCACAAACTTACACTGACACCTAGAGGCCAAATAGTGGATTACAGTGCTGCACTAGAGACTGACGGGGCAGTTAGAGGACGAGGGGATGGGGAAAGGTTTACACCTCAAAAATAAAGACAGAACACATAAAGATCCAAATAAGGCTGATGGGAAAACAAATAAAGACTATGATTATGTGTTGAATATGAAATAAACTGTGTGGTGTTGTACTCCCTGTGCTAAATGTAACTGATACACTGTGTCTGAGTTTCTGAGAGATTAAGTATGGTATATCTCTTTATATTTTCAGGTGATCAGAGCCAAGGTGCTGCATCTCCTGTGCCACTAAAGAAGGATGTTGAGAACATGGAGAAAGGTAAAGATTGTTAATTTGACTAACACAGGTTGTAGGTAAATATTCTCACTCCTCTCGGGTGGATTGACCATATAAACCTGTTAACCTACTCCTTATAGATGTATATTGACCTGAGGAATTAAAGCATACCACCAGATATATATTTTACTGTCTAACAGACAATCATTTGTTAATCTGTCTTCATCTTGCAGAGGAGCTCCAGAAGGTTCTGCTGGAGCAGATCGACTTCAGGAGGAGACTGGAGCAAGAGTTTCACGCTCTGAAGGGCACCTCACCGTTTCCCGTCTTCCGTAAGTCTTTTTTTTTTCCTCCCTTCGCTTTCCTTTTTCATAGTCTGAAGGGCAACTTCTCCTTCTCTGTCTTTCTTAAGTTATTTTCTATTTTCTCCTCTGTACCTGTCTCACCCCCCCCCCCCNNCCCCCCCCCACACACACACCTTTCTCTGTTTTTCCAAGTCTCCTTCATCCTTCACCAGCTGTCTTTTATAATTATACTTGATCAGTTACTCAAATGATAATACTGCTGAATCTAATCATAGATTTTTACGCTAATTTCAGATAATTTTCAAGACCAGATGAAACGAGAGCTCGCCTACAGAGAAGAGATGGTCCAACAGTTACAGATGGTAAGACTACTAATGATACAATCAGTGCTGAACACTGATGCAAAGTAAATATCATTGCCATGCCTTTAAATGACAAATAAAACATTGTTTTATCGATACAAGAATGAAAAAAAGCCTCACTGATTGCTTTGAAAAAGTCTTGGTAATGATTTTGAGAAGAATATAATTAAGACTAATTATGAAGCACTATTCAATAAAATATAGTTACTCAGTTTGAGGAAAGAGGAAAAAAAATGATGAGGAAATGTGACAATAACAACTCGATTAACACTACAACCACGGTAGACTGCAGACATAAGTGTTAAGTCCTAAGCCAGGGCTTAAAAGTAAGAAATTAAATAAATGAAGAATAAATAAAGCCTTCAATAGGACTCAACAGGACACTTCTGCTATTGCTTATTTGTCCATCAAAAGACAGAGCCAATCATCTAGTTTGTCTTTCATGGGTGAGGAGTTCCTCTGCAGCCGTCTGAGTGTTTCCGTCCACATCAATCACCCGAGCAGCTGGCAGACAGGCTGACAGACGGTGTTTGTCTTTGCTTTCTGACACATGCAACAACTGTACACGCTTGCGTGCACATGGTCGCAAGCCCTGCACATACACCAAAACGCACGCGAGAGTATGCTGCATTCATGTAACCACAAAGGCAGACCCCTGAACAGACATGCAAGCTCATTTATGAGCACGTATGTGCACCATGAAGTGCACATGCACGCATAAAATTTTCAAAATTGACAAATGCATCTAGAACTGGCAGATGGATATGTCTGAGAGTAATGACACATTAATTTCACACAGACAATCAAATGAACGACCAACAAAATTTTTGATTTATGTTGCTGCATCATATTTTAGAATTTCAAACTTTCCACATATTGCTTGGAATTTTTAATTTCCATATTTTAACGTGGAGCTGTGATGAAATAATGATTCTGTGTGTGATAGTGCGACATTCATTTTTGAGACAAAACAATTTACTAATCTTCACATAATACATGATTTTAAAACTATAAGTACAGACAAAATCGAACAATTTTACTATTTTATTTACTATGTAAGTGCTTGCAAGAATTTATCAGGGCTAAAATGAAACGCTAGAAGCCAGTTAAATGCCGATAATGTTTGGCTCTGGCTTTTTGGCAGGTGACCAAACATTATATGAATTTAAATCCTAAAATTGTAAAACTAAAAAAAAAAGACTATTTTGTGTGTTTATAAAAAACTCTATATGTGTCTAAATCTTGTTGTCAGGATTAATCTAACTGTTGTCTCTAATCTTTGTTTCTTTCAGATTCCCTACGCAAACATCATCAGAAAAGAAAAGATCAGCTCCCATCTCAACAAGTAGCTAAAAGGTGACTTTTTATTTAATTTAATAATACTGCTTTTCATCAGGACTTTTTGTGGTAGACAGCATTTAGTCTGGATAGCCACACCAGAGATTAACATGCAGAAATTAAACAGATTCTTCTTAATGGCAAATGGTCAAATTCAAATACTTTTTTTGACAATTAGTTTTTCTGGTCCAGCATACTTTAGGCATTCGATAGCTACAGTATAAAGAATTTTACATTTTAAAACACAGTGGTTTTCACAAGCTATACCCTAAACACCAGTCTTTTTACTGACGCACAGACTTTAAGTATCAAGAACTATCAGTCTTTGAAAAACACCAAAGCAGAAAATGACACTAATGTTGGGTTATTATTTATTTATTGTCTTCACAGCCAGAGTCAACAAAATCCCACGTGAGCAGAAGAAGCTGCCTGGATTTCCGTGAATGTCCCGAGAATAAAAAAACAAAAAAACAAACAAAGAACAGTCACATGAAAACTAGGAAATGTTGAAGAGAGAGACACAAACAGAAAGGAATATGACGCTATATAGTATATATAATACATTTCTTACATTTCCTTGGGACAGCATTTTTCCTGCCTCTGCAGTACAACCTCTGTTAATAGCCCCTGCACTTAAACTCTGTCTGGTAAGAACACATTCGGACCAGTTTGTACTGCCGTGGGGAAGCAGCGCGCTGGTAAAAGTTTCATCGCTGTTTCATTTCCCCTGGGTTCAGTGTGTTTCCCAAACTGACTGAACTGAAAAGGGCACAAACTTTGGACATCAGGGGAAACAGAACGACTCTGCTGTTTCTTCATTACTGCGCTGGCAGTCAGACTCAAAGCTTTACCCAAACCAGGACCAAAGCAACCATGACCTTTCTTGTCTTTTGTGAGTTTTAGGGCTGTTGAAGACTACCAGGAATTCAGTTATAGACATTGTCAGAAAACTCTAAACTTTTCTAAGCTCTTAAAAGATGAAGAGGAACAGGAGAGAGTCATCGATAAAGTAAGACTGTATGTTATTGTCCATGACTCTGACTGCTGCTGGCCCAACTGTACATACACCAGACTGTGGATAAGGACGGACTTCACGCTAAGATTGTTGCTGTTGTTATTATTGTTGTTGCCGTGGTATCACCAAAAAGAAACCTAAAAAGAAACAAACATTTAAAACCTTTATTTATTCACAACATTTTATCCCAAAGGGATTTTCTTCATCATGTCCAGTTGTGTTTATTGACCAAACTTCCCTGTGAACACAAATAATCAACATGATCTGGGGTCAGTCATCACTGAAGAGGTCAGATGCTTTTGGTTCACCCAAGTTTGGTCTGTTACATGTCCCATACTTGAATATGCCAGATGAAGAACAAAATAAAGGGGGAAATAATGGAGGATTGGTGTTTCGAGCAGTTAGTGAGTATTAATAAAGGTTGGTACCATAGAAAGGGTTCACACTTCATGCAAACTGTACACTGGCAGCACAGTTTGTTTTTAGTTTTAGTATTTTGGTAGTTGTTTCTCTGAATGTGCAAAAAACCTACAGTATTTTGCTCAATGCAGATGTTGCTGCATCAGATTATACATTTTTTCACCTCTTCTACTGTTCATTTTTGAGCATATCAAACAGCTGGAGAATCCTTTTCCTTAAATGCACCCACAAGGTACTATTTACCCTCCACCCAAATTTTCTAACCATCAACCCACAGGCCTTACCTCCACCTCGAGGTGAAGCATTGCCACCATCAGCTAAATGTGTTTGGGGTGTCATCAGATGGTGAATACACATTTAAAGGCCAATTCCATGTATGTGTTCGTTCTCAAAATGAGTGTCCGGGCCACGAGGAACAAAAGACTGAACTTTGTCAGTGTTGTATATCTTACCTGTAAATTATTTCACCTGACTGTATAACATGTCATATGTGAGAATACTGAACTTCACCGTCAGTCTATCTATGTGTTTGTTTGTTTGTTTGTTTATTTATTATTTATTTGAGTATCAAGGCCTAAGACCCTGATTGTGAAAATATTATTTATTCTAATGTTAAAAGAAAAAGAACAAGACATGAGGATGATGATGATGCTGATGGTGCGTTCAAGGATATGTCAGAAAGAATAAAAAAGAGAACTCATCCACCTTGTTTATAGAATGAAATGAATGAATGGATAAAGTTGTCATTTACTGAGAGAAATGTTATCATTATAAACTGTTAATGCAGATGTATTTAAATATGTTCTTGTAGTTTCTCTACTATTTATGTGTAAATTAAAAGTCTATACAATAACCAGAATGTAGTTTCATGTTTAGACCTGCCATTTTTTTTTTCATTTAAATCCTTGATTTTGGTTTCATGACATAGCTTAGGTTTTTTTTTTTTTTTTTATGCTCTTGAATCCAAAGGAGTCTTGTTTTCAGCTATCCTATTTGTGATACATGTAAAAACTGAGGTGCAAAAAACACAGCTTAATATGTACATTTTAGGATTATACACACTTGTTTGTATTCAGGTTTAAGTTGCATCTCAAACATTTGTAATGATCTAATGATGAATCTGATGAAAATTGATGAAAATTGTACCTAAACCACTGATTGTAAACGAGTTACCAACAGTTAGTTGAGCAACTGGGTAATTGTTAACACAAAATATTGCTAATTAATGATTTAATTTTTGCTCCTTATCTCCTACTAAGTTAAAGGACCGGTGTGTTGCATTTAGTGGCGTCTAGCAGCGTAGGTGCAACTCCCTCGCTTCACTCTGCCCTTCCAAATGCAAAGAAGAAATTACAGTGGCCATTAAACATGCAAATAGCCCTATATAGAGCCATTTTTGGTTTATCCGTTCTGGGCTGATTCAACGTGACAGACTCCCTGGAATGTGACCCATGGCATCTGTAAAAATGCTCATTCTAAATTAACAAAAACAGTGATTACTGTATCATAATAATAAACTAATTAAAACACACCTATGAATATTATATTTCATTTTTACCAATAGATCATCTTAAATGTTACACACTAGATCTTTAAAATATCATGTTGCAGCAGGGAAACATTTCAAAGGGGTAATATTTTAAACAAGCACATAACATTGCAACATAAATGAATACAATAATAGAGATAAGCGGAATTTAAATTTTAACACTTTTTTGCCTTGTTGCAAATCAAGAAATCAATTATCTTTTAAGGGAAATTTAGTGCCCAATAGCTAAGGAAAGTGGAAGAGACCAGAGTGCCCCGATTAAACCCACACCACCGTAGCAGTCAACAAATGCTCAGGACCAGGAATACCTTGCCTTCTGGTTGTGAGGTCACACAGCTGAGGTGGCCCTATAGAGCTCAAATCCTGCCCTAAATCTAGCTGACCTCCTGCTCCCCTGGTCTGTTGAGCAACAAAAATATGTGGTGGAGAAGATAACCTGGAGAGCTAGGTAATCACTACAGTCTCAATAGAATTATAACCTTCATTCCACCTACTCCTGTGACCTTATGTAAAAGACGTCATACCTATAACCCCCAGGGGTGGAACTTCTCACAGTATAAAAGCGGGTTTAACTTCCGGCTTGTCCTCTTACCTTGAACACCTTAGAGAGCTCTGAGTGACAAGGATTAGTGACATTATCCTTTGGTCTCACAGATCTATAGTTACATTCATAACTTATTGGTTTCAACCAGTCTGAATATGATCATACCAAAAGGGATGTGAGGAACATGACATCACCATAGCAGTGCTTACAGGTATTGAAGAGGTCACATCAACTCATTTTGCAAATGTACATGGTGTAGACCATGATGATGCACAAATGTCTCCTCAGGAACCCCTTTCTGTGCAACCCATAAAGTAGCTATACTTCTGGTTGAGTGAGCTTGAATCCCTGTAGGAACTGGAAATTCCTGTTACTCGGTCCACATTCATGCCTAAACACCAGTCTGAAAGGATTTTCCACCTTAGGGAGCAATTAGCTCAAGTAGATGGAGCTCTAGAATTCCTCAGTGTGTCTCGGACAGTCTTGTCTTACTGTTGAGTGACGGACTCTGCAGAGGCCAGACCCATAAGCGGTTGGATTTTTATGCTCATGTCAGTAGCTTGCTTGCTACCTGGAAATAGCATACTGACTTTGTTCCACTCTGTTGATTTATGGTACACAACAGAGGAGCTATCCGTTCTCACAGCTTCCCAACCTATCAATGATGTGTCTGTTGTAATCATTGGCCTTCTGTGAGGAAAGTTCCTTGGGATTCCTCTGAGAAGTTCCTCCAAGGGAGCAAGGCCAGCATACAGGACTGTGGCACAAGCAGCCTCATCTTCCTGTCCTGTTTTGGATGGAGATGAAAAGAGTTCAGCCAACACTGAATGTGATGCACCATTAGAAGGCCCAAAGGTATCACCACCACCACCACCTATCACCTTATGGTGCCATCAGTCCAAACTGTTTCTGAACCCTGTCAGCAATCACAATCGTCTCTCAAATCTTCAAACAAAACTTGGCCCTGGAAAACAAAGCATTACTATTTTTTTTCACCTTTGAAATGGTTACTTTTTGCATTTGACGTGTCCATCCTGTTGCATTAGACCCTGACTTGACCAGGCAACTGGCAAATTCATAAGTATGTTCATCATGGCATCCAGCTAAAAAGTCTGTGCCAGCCATATTTGCCTATGACCTAAGACAGCCGACGACAAAGCCTCCCCTACATAACGTGTAGATGAGAATGGCGGATGTGGATTCCAAGGTTCATACTGATTCTGCTTTGTCAGCACACCTGCAACTAACACATAACATAGAGGGGGCTATGTCATTGGCAAAGACTTCTTTGCCGGATTCCATAAGCAACCCACTGATGAATTTGCTAGTATTGCCTGGTCAGATCTTTCATCCAGGTTCTCAAGACAGGTTGGAAAGGGATGAGTGCTCTGTGAGGGAACCTGCCCAACGGACCTCCTCCACACCGACTCCAGCTTTCCAACAAGGGTTTAGAGCATAGACCTTGACGTGGTTGGGGGCCCTG